CGCTTCCCAAAAGGTATCTTCAACCCGACAGAACTCGTCTGAATTTAGCACAACCTCGCTTCCCAGAAGGTATCTTTAACCCGACAGAACTTTTCGGAATTATTCCTGTTAGCTCTCTATTCGCTTAAGCGCGACTTGACTCCCAATCTTGATGGTGCAAGGTATCTATTCTACGCATGTTCCCATCACGCCACTTTTCCGCGAGTCGCCAAGGATCGCATGTCTCGTTTACCGTTGGACTGACGATGATGTTTCAAACTTGTGTTTTGTGATTTTACTTTCAATTTTGCAGCAAAATTTGGCCGTAACGTTTTCGTGAATTGGTCTCTTGCGAATTTGAGGGAGAATTGTCGTGGATTGGATTGTGCCAACAATAAGTCCTCGGTTCACTGTCCTGCGACTGGGATCAGCTCATCTTTTCGCTTGGTCCACTATTTTGTTGTAAAGTAAGCATTCTTGATCACGGCCATACAGACGCCAGCTCCAGTACGGACGGTGAGCCGAGCATTTTTTTGCTTGCCACCCTCCAGCAGTCTTTACTCCACTCGGCAGCCATCCTCTTTCGGTTTCCGATGTCACCAGTTCGCGAATTTCTTCCAACCAACATTTCCTTTAAAATGCAATCCGGGTCAACATAGAAAGGATTTGACATTTCCTTCCCATATCCATTCACAAGTGCCACGGAGGTTGAGTCACAATAATTCGAAGGGATTCTTTGAAGCCCAACTTTTCTTAATATAAACTCTTATTTAGCCATTAGACTCGATCGCTCTACCCATCTTCAATGAAGGTAGTGCCTACTCAATCACTTACCTCCATTTCTAATATGCCACATATTTGTGCGATATTTCGTTTTCGGTAGTTGGATTTGCCCATAATCTGATGATATCCGACATCGCGGCCTTGCGCGATTCGAGCTCAGCTTGTGGTAGTGCAGCGTATAGTCTCGACACGTCAACCGTGGCGTCAGACTGCAACGAGTGCACTTGGCTGCCATGACAGATGGAAATTTCCCATACTATTTATCATACTCATCAGAATGTGGAACAATGCAAGTACCACTTTATGATTATCTTGAACGAAATCGGTTGAATCGGCTGTACGGGTGATCGCGAAAATCAACTTTTAGCCCAAAAATGCAATATTTTTTCCCATTCCATCACACACAATTCGTCACTCTCATCGTGTCCTCGGAGAAGACGTGATACAGCCGGCCAACCGATACTCTCCTCTTTACTCTCGTCAGTCATTATATTCAATCTCCCTCTCTCTCTTTCTCTCTCTCTCCTCTTTCTCCGCCTCCAGAACGGCCCGACGTGGGAGGAGCGAGCGTCTCTTCTTCGCGCCATGGAATGCCTGCTCAGCCCGGCCGGCCAACCGACGGGTCTGCCGCTCTTCCAACTGCTTCAGCTGCTCGCCGCCCAGAGCTCGCCCAACGGACGGCCCGCCCTGTTGCCGCTTGTCGCGGCCACCGGAGACTCGGGCTCGAGTCCCGTCGCCGCCTGTTTCAGCTCGACAATGCCTCTTCCCCTCCTGCCCGTCGGACTGTCGACCGGTGCGCAGCATCGGCCCGGCTCGCCGGTCGGCAAGACCAACACCACCACCGGCCTCGTTGTTCCCATCGACCAGCCATTCATGCATGACGACGCCAGGCAACAGTTGACATGGCAATGTCTATTGCACACGCTGGCCGGCACTTCATCCGGCCTCTGGGCGCCGGGCTCCAAAGGGTCCGGACTGCAGACGGTCAGTCCGGCCGGCCACGGCGACAGCCTCGCCGTCGGGAAGATGGGCAAGAAGCCGACCACCAACACCAACACCAACACCAGCAACGTCGCCTCCGTTGCCTCGCCGACAGGCCAGTCGTCTTTCCACTCGGTCCACCGGACACCCGGTCTCCCGTCGGCCGGAGATCTCGGCCTCCTCCTGTTGCCCGACCTCTCCGCTTCGACGCCATTCACCCTCGCCACGGCAACAACACAACCCGTAACCAGCCCACTGGCAACTAGCCACACAACAACCAGCACAACTGCCACGACTGCTACTGCTGCTGCTGCTGCTGC